CGCAATCCTTTCTCCAATCCGCCAAGTGGTCCTAGAGGCCCATCCCCGCCACCACTCCCGTCCCAGACTGCCCCACCTCGTGAGTACTCCCGCTCCAAGCCAAGACGCGACGTCCCATGTCCAGCTCTTCCAATTCATGCGGACTGTCCGTCGGGACGCAACCCTGCCTTCCGTTGGATGGCACCAACACCGTACCACGCATCCTGGTCGGTTGCCCTGCATCGTCTGGGGTCGGCGGCAGTAGCGGCAGCCTCTGGATTCTCTGGGTGCAGGAGGAGGACCTTGGCGGGCCTTATGTAAATCCTGGTGCGAGCAGGTGGCAAGGTGCACGTTTCTTCACTCCCGCGTTGTTTTCCACCACGGCACCTTCCGGCCTATCCTCCTCCCCCCCCCCCTCCCAGCTATAGAAAAAGAGGCCTACCACCGCCTCCACCTGGACGTGGGGGATGACTCGGAGGATGGAGGAGGGAGGAACGAGGGAGGTGGTGTGCAAGATTTGCCGACCTTGTGGGATGCTGACGGGCAGAATGCGTTGCGGACGCGCCCGCCTGCACTTTGACCTCTTTCCTTAAAGAAGAAAAAAAAACATAAACATAATCTGTCAGCGCTCCGCGCGGATTTCTGGGATCTGCGCCGGGCCCCTCATCCCTGGCGCGCGGACCGCCGACAATTTATGCTTATGCCGGAGGAGGAGGAGGACGAGGAGGAGGAGGAGGGGGAGGAGGAGGAGGTACCCCCTGCAGTGTACACCCACTTTAAAGGTAGCAGCCCTGGCATGTGTGGCCTCGGTCGATGCGCCTCGCAGGCGCGGCGGCGGCTTGTTCGCTTGACCCGCTGCTGCCTGTGCTGCTGCTCCCCCACCCCCCGCGCCCTCTCTGCTCCTGCATCCGTGTACGCATCTGACCTCTCGCCTGAGATTGGACCTAACCGAGGAGGAGGGAGGAGGAGGAGGAGGAGGAGGAGGAGGAGGAGGAGGAGGAGAAGGAGGAGGAACCGACCCGCGTAAACATACATGGGACGCACAGGGACATACTAATACTATATGTCCTCCTTGGAGGCGCGCGTCCGACCCGAACATATAGTATACCCATCTCGTAGTACATCGTTTCCCGAGCGTTGTGGCCAGAAAGCGCCCGCCACGACGCATATACTGCAAGTTTTCTCGGTGCGCGCGTCGCTTCTTTGAAGGACGACGCACATATAGTAGAAGTAGATTGGGGTGACGCCGAATACACTCGGAGCTCCGCGCGGAATTCTTGGGCTGGCGCGAGGAGCGCGCCAGGGGCGGCACGATTGAGGCGCCGCCGTGCGGGGTGCCAGCGCCGACCCAGGAAGGCATCGCGGAGCTGCGACGATTGCTGTCTCAACGTGCAGTGCTCTTCGCCGGGGGGTGTCAGCACTTCGTCCTCCTCTGTCTGCTCCCGAGAAGAGAGTAACTATGGCGGAGCCCCCCTCCGACCCCATTGGCCTGCCTGCCTCTCGCAACACGCGGCAAAGGTGGCGTGACACCCAAGAGGGAGGGGACTGGCGAGACAGGATCTGAGCGAACCACTACAGCGGACAATGGTCTGGGCCAAGCTAACTAAGACCAGGTGGGGGAGGCCATGGACTCGTGGATCTGGTACGTGCGAACACGCAGACATGCATCGGAACTGCGAGACACATAAGAAGGTTACGAGGGAGGGGGGTAGGCGGAACAGGGAGGGGAAGGACGAGGGCAAGGGAGCCTCTGCGCCCCCGTCCCGCCTTGGACAGCTCCGCCCCCACAAAACTGAACGCGTCGCCGCTCTTCTGCTGGCTCATGGTCGCCCCAGCGCCCATCGTGCCGGGCATCGCTCCTCCCCGCAGCAGCGGGGGCGAGGGAGGAGGGCGGAGGCAGGACGAGGATTTCTCACGATTGCTTTTGTAGGGTTACGTCGGGCATATCCTCATCCAGGCGGATCTGAGACGAACAATTATCAATCGTCGGAACAGATGCATTCACATTGTTATGAATGAATAGTGCAAACATCGTCCCCCGAATACATTTGGATTATTTTTGAATCTTCCTCCTGTAGAGGGACATGCCCGACTTAATTGTGGGGGGGGGGCCCGGGGGGTCCTCGAGGCCCGGGCTGGATCCGCCTCCGAGTCGGGGGCGGCGTCCCCGCGGGGGGGCGTTCGCCGCAGATCGTGGGCGGAGGCACGTGCGCGGCCGAGGGGGGGGGGGGACCGAGAGAGACGTGCTGGTTTGGAAAAGGGGGCCAGGCCAGCTGGGGAGACATTGCCAGGGCCCCGGTGATCCTCCGCCCCCCGGGCCATCACCGGGGGAACGAAGAGTGACATGAACAGAACAACTCTGAGGTCCACGCGGATTTCTCGGATCGGCGCTGGACGCCCCTCCCTGGCCGCGTCTCCGGCGCCGCCCCTGGCGCGCTCCGCGCGCCAGGGAGGGGGGTCCAGCGCCGATCCGAGAAATCAGCGCGGATCTCCGGGTTTTTACGTTCATGTCATCATTCCCGTAATCAACCGCCTCTCTTGGAGGACCCTGACCAAGTCCTGATCAGAGCCTTCTCCAGGGAAAGGGCGGAGGCAGGCGAGGCCGGAAGCGGTGGTGAAGTCCAGATGCCTATTGTCCAGGTGTAGTATCGCACGAGGAAGCTTGCGCCCGCGTTTGTGCACGAGGCGGCTTCTGAGCGCCATCAGCAAGCCTCCTCGTGCCTGGCAGGTGCAGCTGGGAACGGGGAGAGACGAAGATGGAAGATAGCACGAGAGAAGAGGGGGGAGGAGCAGGCGGAGGGCACGAGAACATGTAGAATAACTGACTCGCCCCCCAAGGCAGGGTGCGTCTGCAGAGCCAGACGAGCCAGAGACCAAAGGACAGATGGAGGGGCGATGAGACTGGATTGGGAAGGAAGGACAAAATCAGGCGGGGATACGCGTACCGCCCCACGCGGCACACACGTCACACATTCCGCTTCGGTGCAACATGTGCCCACCAAGAGGTGCTCACCAAAAGGAGCCCCACGCTTTCGGCCGCGGGGGGCGCTGATACATGCCGCCGCCTGCCATTCTGGCGCCGCCCTTACGAGGATCCTGCCAACGCGGAGCTCCACTTATGGCCCCAGTGGGAGGGTCCACGTGCGTTCCCCCGCCCATGTCGGCGCACCCCTTACAAGTTTTGTGCCCATCGTACGCGGAGCTCCACTTTCGGTCCCAGTGTGTGCTGAAGCATGCCGCCGCCCGACCATCTCGTCGTATATCTCACACGTTTCGTGCCCACAGGGGGCTCCACCCACGGCCCCAGTGAGAGGGTCCATATGGATCCCCTGCCAATTTCGGAATACCCCTTACGAGGATCGTGCCCCACAAGAAGCTCTACTCATGGCCCCAGGAGGAAAACTACATACGCGTCCACGGGCCGATTCCAGCAAACACACACACACACACTCACGCATACATGCACACACGCACACACGCACGCACGCACGCACGCACACACGCACACGCGCACGCCCGGAAACACGCACACACGCACACGCGCACACACGCACTCGCACACACACACACACACACTCATACACACACGCACACACACACGCACACGATCACGCACACACGCACATACACACACCCGCGCACACACACACACACACCCGCACGCACACACGCACTTATGCACGCAGGCACGCACGCACGCACGCACGCACGCACACACACACACACCCGCACACCCACACACACACACACACACACGCGCACGCGCACGCGCACGCGCACGCGCACGCGCACGCGCACGCACGCGCACGCGCACGCGCACGCGCACGCGCACGCGCACGCGCACGCGCACGCGCACGCACGCACGCACACGCACGCACAGCACACGCACACGCACACGCACACGCACACACACACACACACACACACACGCACACGCACACGCACACGCACGCACACGCACACGCACACAACCACAACCACAACCACAACCACAAACCCAAACCCAATCCGAATCCCAAACCCAAACACAACCACAAGCGCAAACAGAAACGCAAACACACACACACTTACACGTGCGCGCACGCACACACGCACACTCGCACGCACGCACGCACGAACACACGCACCTACGCACACACGCACACACGCACACACGCACGAACGCACGCACGCACGCACGCACACACGCTCACACGCACACACACGCACACACGCACCCACGCACACCCACCGACACCCACACACACACACACACCCATACACACAAACACAATCACAATCACAAGCACAAACACAACCACACCGACAACGAAAAGCACAAACTCAACCACAACCACACGCACAAACTCAACCACAACCATAACAACAACCACAACCACAAACACACACACACACACACCTCACGATAGCCGCGCCCCACGGCCTCAGTGGGATCGCCCACATGCGTTCCCCGCCCTTGTTTTTCGGCGAACGTCTCACGGGAATCGTGCCCCACACCTTTGGGAGGACCCAAGAAAGCCAAAGAGAAGCCACCAAGAGCGGCAAAACGCCCCAAGACGGCCTGGGAGGTCCCGAAGACACCCCACACAGCAAAGCCCCAAGAGAGTACTCCAACCATGGCGCATGCAGCGAAATGCTGCTTTGCCAGGCGCCCTATGCTGTACAGCACATGTACTGGATGTGGGCGCTCTGGAATTCACTGCGTGGCATCTCGTGGCATAGCATTTCGTTGCACGTGAAGTCATGGCTTCAACAACAAACATACTAATAATCACGCAACACGAGGGCCACATACGCACGCAGAAAACATCAGCATACGATTGTCAGACACTGTGGTGGTGTATACAATGCAAGTGCAGGACGCCTGTGCACAACTCAAAACCCAGCATGCACGTAAGCATACACTTTTCGAGGCTGGACAGATCCCCTTTAGTGAAACGTGGTTAAGTGAAAACGACCTCGGGCCGAAACCTGGCGGGCGCAAGCCTGGAAAATGACGGCCGCGGCGCCCTCTCGAGAACCGAAAACGGGCAATTCACTAATCGACGTGTCAGAGTGGGGGGTCTGTCCACCCCCGGCTCAAAACCCAGCATCCACGCAAACATGCACTTTGGGAGGTCCGAGCGGATTTCTCGGGTCGGCGCTGAACCCCCCTCCCCCCCACCCCGTCCCTGGCGCGCGGAGCGCACCCGGAGCGGCGCAGGTGCCACTGGGGTTGTGGACTACACCCTGCGAAATGCTTAAGAAATCATGGGTTAAGAAATTCATAGTCTCAGAACTTGGTAAAAAAAACCCAACATTTCCATGAACATCTTAGGATGTACATTGAATCATTGAGAATAACTGAGATTCTGGCCGAAAACTTAAGTTTTCTTAAGCATCGCCTAAGGTGTAGGGGGGCCAAGCACCGATGCAAAGATCAAGGCGCGGACCTCCGAAGAGTCAAGCCCTTTGCGAATTTTTCGTCCTTCGGACCTGCGCGCAGCTCGAGACTGGACCGCTCAAACTGTGTCCCCTCTGTGGCCCCCTCCCTTTGGGCGTGGCTTAATGGGGGGGTCACAAATGGGGGGGTCAGAAAAGGTCCCCTTTCGTGCCCCTTTCGGGCCCCTCCAGAGCCCCAGGGGGCTCGTTTAGGTACCGTTTGGGTACCTTTTCGGACCACGCTCGCCACCCCCCCATTTGTGACCCCCCCATTACGCAGCGCCCAATCCCTGGTCTGCCGACCCCTCCCGGGGATCATCTTGGCTACGTTTTCGAGCTGCGTCTGGCCGTGGCCTTAGGTTGGGCGTGTCCTCCTACAGGCGGATTTTGGACGAAAGATGAAGAAGAGTCAAACAATACCAAAACATATTCAGAAGTGCCAGATCTCGTCCCCAGACTATTTTTCTACTATTTTTGAACTTTCCTCCTGTTGAGGGAAAGGCCCGAACCGTGGCCACGAAGGATGCCCGAGAGTCCCCCAAAAAGGTCGAGCCTCGTCGCTCGAACCTCGGCCTGCGACCCTCGGAAGGGGCCCCCCCGAAAGACGGGGCCCCTCCTGGGACCGGCTTCTCATCCTGAGCCGCTGCTGGTCGGTCCTGGTGGCCCCAAGAAACCGCCCAGGGCCACGTGCGGACTCTGGATTCTCGTAAGCGAAATATAGAGGCCATGAAAGCTGCTGCTCTTCCTGCAGATTTCTGACGGGCAGACCCGCCCTGGACCCAGGTCGGGCGTGTCCTCCTACAGGCGGATTCTGGACGCAAAGAGAAGGATCGGAACATGCTCAAAAAGAACCACACGTGGAAGCACACCTTCCGCCTGGCTTTTCTCCACGAGGCGAGCTGGGCCTGCAGCGCACGGCAACCCACAGCCAGACCGTCCGCGGGACGCCTCTGCATGGCCCCCCGCCGCCTGCCTGGTGCTGCTGCCGGAACGGCCGCCGCGGCGGGCGGCGCGGCGCCGAAGTTCAAACCTGAGGGCGCCGACGGAGCTGCGAGAAGCCTCCCAAATGGGGTCTGTGGGGTCGAACGATCGCGCCGCATCGACGATGCATCGACGATGCACCGGCGACGTCGGCTGTGCATCGGCGACGCTGGCATGGATAAAATCGGGCAACACATCGGGCCGCATCGCCGATGCATCGGCGGCCAGGCGCGATCCTCCGACCCTATTTACTCGGACCCCATGTGAGCGTTTTCCTATTCGGCGTTTCAACATTTAGCGAAGAGGGGGGGGATGGGGGGGGTCTGGCTCTGGACCTCTGATTAGTGGGACGGTTTCTGACAGTGCGTCTTATGAGGGAAGACTTCACCTGCTCGAAACAGGCGCCAAAAACAGCCGAGATCTACTCCATGGGGGGGGGGAGGAGGTGTGCGCGGGCCCGCGCCGATCGGCAAAACAACGAATCAACAAACGATCACCATCTGGGCGGCACAGCTGTGGGAGGAGGGTGACTCGCTCGACTCTCCCTCGGGGCTGGGCGGCGCAAAAAAGACGGCCGGTGTTTCGTCGGTGATGGCTTTTGTGGGTTGTGTCCCGTCAGACAAGAACTTTGGATGCAGAGCCAGCCGGGGGGAGGTGGTCGAAGGCCCAGGGGCCGACGCCATGAACAAACCTGCAACCTCGGAGGAAAGGGCCTTGCGACTCTTGCTGCCCTCTGCCCTGGGCATCAATACGTCCAATGCTCAAGACCACTGCGGCAGTTGTGTAATCTGGGATGCTCGTCGCTACGCAATCGCTCATGGACTCCACTTCCGCCCTCACCGCCGTCTTGTTAATTGATACTTGTTAGGAATCGATTTGCTGCTGGCTCACATGTAGCAGTGCCGTCTCGTGGGACCATGCGCTGGCTGCCCACTCGAAGCACGGTGGCCTCAAACGTCCACCGTGACATGAGAAACTCTCTCGACATTTATTGCGCAAAAAGTGCGCCCCCCTGCGCCCCCCAGTCGGAATGTGCTTTCACCTGGAGGGTCTCTCCCCCTCGCGGGTTTTCAGTGGTAACGTAGCAATCGACGGATCGGCGATGCAACTTGGTGACCTGGCGCTCGAGCGCGCCGGGTGCGGGGTGGTCACGAGTGACCGCCATGGGGGTCTTCACGGGGTGGCTTGCGTCCATTTGCCCACCCCATCCAGCAGGTTAGGTGTGCCGAAGTTTACGCCCGATACATATATATATGTATATATATACACACACTAAACTACGCGCGCGCTTAGGTTCTAGTCACGGCTGCGCCACGTGTTGCTTCTCTCGCTTCCGCTTGTGTGATCATCGACGACGACGACGACGATGACGACAAAGGCGGCGACGAGTGACGACGGAAACGGGCGGGCGCGGTGCGAGCCACAAGGTGCGCGAAGGGGCGTGACCCGGACCTCTGGCGACGTGATCTTTTCAGCCAGCGGCTTCCTCTTTGTCTTCGATTTTTCGTCGGCTGTCGTCGGGGATGGGGGTTCGAGCACATTTTTCGTCGCTTTCGGCTCCGCTAGGGCCGCTTTGGGGGTCTAGAACCACCCAGACCTGATCCGGGACGGCGAAGCAGAGATCTCTGGGGGAGAGGTCCGGGGACGCGGGTTTAAAAAATCATGTGGGCGGATGTCTGGGGACCAGCAGGATGGGAGAGACCCAGACCCACGACGTCGTGATCGTTTCACAACGGGGGTACCCGAAAAAATGGGCACCTTCCCAGGGACCGCTTTTCGTCCCGAATCGCCTTTGACGGTCCCATGGCCCGTTGAGGCCCCGGGAAGCCGCAAGCCGAAAACGGCCGAGAACCTCTCGTCGTGTTTTTCGCACGACGGGAGAGGTCTGGGGGGAGGGGGGAGAAGGAGGGAGGGAGGGCTGCCCGATCGAGGGAGGAAGGGATGCCCGATCACTCGACGTCGTTTTTGTTTGCTACGTCGGCCCTTGAAGGTCGGGACGCCTTCTCCGGGACCGGTTTTGCATCCTCGTTTTTTGATGGTCCACTGGTGGCCGCAAGCGGCCGCAAACCTCCCGTCGTGATCCTTTGATGACGCGAAAAGGGTCTGGGGGGAGGGGTGAGAGGAAGGAAGGATGCCCGGTCTTCCGGCGCCGTGATTTTGTTCTCTATATGCGTCGGCTCCTGGAAGTCTGGCCCCTTCTACGCGACCTGCTTGTCATCCTGACCCACCGATATCGTGTTTTTTTCAATGCGGGGTCTCTGGGCCCCAAGTCCGGACAACTTCCACAGGGCCGGAGTTTCGTCCTAAATTTTGGACGCCCGAAATGGGCACGGAAAGAATGGGTACAATGCCCAACAACAAGTGTTGTCCCAAACAAACAGCGGCCGCTGTGGGGCAGGCGGCCTTCTGTCTCGAATGGACACAGGCCGCGGCGGCGCGGACAGCGAGTCCTGTCCAAAATGAACAGGAACTGCTGTTGGGCATTGTACCCATTCTTTCCGTACTCATTTCGGGCGTCCAAATAAATGTTTGACGGTCCGAGGGCCCGTTCGGGGCGTCAGGATGCCGAGAGTTGCCTGGAAGCTTCGGGATCGGCCAGAGTACCTCAAGGCGTCTGGGGACAAGGCTCTTGGGAGCCATTTGGGGCTTCCTGGCGGCCCCGTGGGGCCCGATTGGGTTGTACCGCTCGGGGCTGTGCGGGGAAGCTGTCTGGGGGACCTTTGGGACTGTCTTTGGAACCACCTGGACAGTCGAGGGCCCCTCTTGAGCCGTCTTGGAGGCCTCTTGGAACTCTCTTTGGCCAGCTTTTGGCGAACTGGTCGGCTCCTGGGGCCGTCTTCGACGCGGTCGACGCCGAAACTGTGAATATCGTAAAAACGTACGTTTTCGGGAGGGAATGGGGCCATTTTTGCTCTGGAGGCGCTCTTGGGAGTCCTCTTGGGGGACTCTTGGGCCGTCGTCGTGGGGACAGTTCGGAGATTCTGGGCCGTCTCGGACGTTTGGAGACCTCCTGGGACTCTCGGGTGGCATTTCGGGGCTGTCTGGGGCTGTCTCGGATGGGCCCCAGAGCCTCCCCGGGGCTTTCTGGGAACGTCTTGGGGGCCTCCTGGGCAGTCGAAGGCCCCTCTTAAGCTGTCTTGGAGGCCTCTGGGAACTCTCTGTGGCCGTCTTGGGGCGTTCTTGTCGGCTCCTCTTCGAGGCGGCCGTCTTGGCGTTCTTGGGGCCTCTGGGAACTCTCTATGGCGTTCTTGGGGCCGTCTTCGAGGCGGTCGACGCCGAAGATGTGAGCATCGTAAAAATCTACGTTCTTCCAGAGGGAATGTTGCCATTTTTGCTTCTGGAGGCGCTCTTGGGAGTCCTCTTGGGGGACTCTTGGGCCGTCGTGGGGGCTCCCGGAGGCCGTCTTCGGCGTCTTGGAGCGACGATTCGGGGCTTCTGGGGCCCTCGGGTGGCATTTCGGGGCTATCACGGGCTGTCTCGGGGGGGGCCCCAACGGCCCCAATTCTCCATGCCCCCCTCGTGGCCCGGGCCCCGCGCGCCTGGGCCTCGTGCACGGGGGTATGTATACATACATGTTTAAATATAGATATACACATTGGCATCTATAGATGTATGTATA